ATATTTTAATTTTCCTTAACTGGTGTTGGGAATCCTGACAGGAGACTGGATTATACAATCGTACGTCTTCACCTTTCACTTAGATATGTTTAAAGCCCTCCTATAAGATTAGAGATCAGATCACAAGATCTTGTGCCGATTAAGTGGTACATAAGTTCTATCAACTTTGTACCCCCGGCTTATCTCACACAATGGTATAAACCAGGGATGTCCAACCCACAGCCCACTTAACATTTTTATGTGACCTGCACCCTAAATTTTTAAGATACTTTTTTATTTATTTTGGTAAAGTATGCTAAAATTATTCTCATTTTACTGGATACACTTTGATGTCATAATGATGTAATTGGTGCTAGAAAATTCTTTTATCTAGAAAACTGTTATGCATGTGGGGTAGTACATATTATTCTGAACAATTATTTTTATGCATGAAAAACGTCAAAACTGTTGAAAGAAATAGGTTGAGTGATTTCTGTTTAACTGACATTCTTACAATTAAGACTAGTATCATAAAAGCAGATGTTGACAATACTATAAAAGGAAGGAAATGTCAAAAATTGCATTGAATTCATTTTTATTTTGTGTGAGTACAATTGTCCTGACTGACTGATTCATCATTGCCCAGAGCAAACACTGCTGAACCTAAAGAGGTGAAATTTGGTACACAGTTAGGGTACGTCATGAAAACGCACACTAAGAAGGGATTTTTCGAAATTCCCCCATGGGGAGAGGGGGACATTAAGGCTTAACCTGAAGAACATCTTCTACTGTACTATTTTAGATGCAATTTTTTTTTTTTGTTTTTAACTATGGTTAACAAAAATTCACTATACCTTTAAAATGCAGTCTAGTTTACATCTGTCAAACGTTTTCGGTCTGATTCACAAACCTTCATCAGGATCGAATTATCAATCGAAATATATTTCAAATTTGCATAACGGAGATTCCAAACTGCACGTTCTTCTCGATTGCGCATGCTCATAAATATAATTTTATAATTTTAAAGTTGCCGCTTTCCATGCCGACGCTATTTTGTTCGATTCACGGAAATTTATATTACGCCCTTTTTCTTTGCTCTTGTAAATGTGCCAGGCTTCTGCATATTTTAGATGTTTTATATTTTTCACTTTTTGTATGACATCTGCCTTGCTCCATTTGATGTCGATCTCTGTTGGATCTGCTATCGCGTAATTGGCCAAAGCCGTGACTGGTTGTTTAAAGCTTACATTCTTTTTGTGCTCCTTCAATCTTTCATTTAATGATCTTTTAGTGGCTCCTATATAATATAACTCCTTATTTAGCCTCCTATCATACAACGGTATTCTGTATACACCTGGGATCAGCCTCCTGTCAACGGGTGTTTTGTCGTTTCTTAGCATTTGAAATATTGTCGTGTTTCTCTTATATGCTATTTTCTTGTTGCTTTCTATTCCTATTTTTCTGTAAATGTTACTTAACTGAGCCCTGTATTCCATTACAGTGAACTCCTTTTTCTCTCTTTTAACTTTACTTTTATTGCCTTCTTTTTCTGCTCGTATTAAGGCTTTTATTTTATTCTCCTTAATTCCTAC